AAAGAACTTCAACAGTGGCCACTAGAGGCCGGCAGCTAGAATTTCATCAGTTCCTTGTCTTGGGGCGCCGAGAAGCTATCCATGAGGTTCACTCACTTCAAGGGCACTTTAGTGATCGGAATGATTGCAATCAATACTATCACACATATAGACAATGCCTGGGGATATTCAGTCGTCAACAGCACGTTGGCTGTGATTTCATCTAAGACACCATCGCCGAACATCAACCATCCCACGATAGCCATTGCGCAATCCAATGAATACTGTTGATTATGTTAGCGCTCGACACGCCGGCGTGCTGCAATACATACTGTGAATATATATGTCGCCCAAAGGCTCTTGCCGTACTTATGAGGATGCCTCATGTCACGATAGATACACGGGAAGCACGAATGTGCCCCCCACGGGGCTGAATTGAGAATCAGTCAAGTCAGCACACGAGATTCGGACAAAGGAACTGGTAAACTCACACATAATAAGACCAAAACTGAGCGGAAGAGTGGCCCAGTTGTCAGGAAACATTGTGGTTCTGGCTGGTTGACGAAGGGAGCCCGGGCTATCTGGTTTGACCAAACCGTCAATGAATATGATACTGACAACTGTAGATATTAGTACATCGTGCGACCGCCGTTCAGAGACAGGAAGTAACACACTGGAAGTACACGACAAGATGCCTAGTATACTCGTGACACTTAGTAACCGCAAGGGAACGAAGTTGAGCGGCATTAGCATAAACCCGCAAGTTATTTTCCATTGAAGGATGCTCAGACCGGGAATCAGAGCATTAAGACTGTCGGCGAAAAGCACAACTAGGGCGACGCAAGCCCCTATCAGCTCCAAACAGAATAAGAGACTCGTAACAATCCGTGCATGATGCCCAAAGCTGATGTAGGCTACATCTGCATATGTCACAAGGCTTCGGTCAACGTCTAAGCATTTAGCCAGGATCTTGGCAGTGTACGAAGTCGTCACGGCAGCGAAGAGGAGGAACGATAACCCCAGGAGCCACCCAGCGTATTTCATTGCCAGAGGCAACGACAACAGGCCGACTCCAATCAAGACATTGACCGAATTGAAAACAGTCTGCGGTACAGTAGATTGGCCTACAACGACACTGTCTCGCGTTCCATCATCGTGCTGAATCTGTTTGACAAGGAGAGGCTCACCATCGGGAATTACAGCTGCGTTGCGATGTGCCACTTGTTCCCTATGAAATTGTATTGCGTTTCTCCGAGTCGCCTCACTGACCCTAGATGAGATCGTACCGTAAGATGTCCCCAGACTTCTATCCAATGATGAGCTAAGGATGGCGGTACTTGGGAACGCCTTTTTTGAGTGACTAGTTTTACTCCCGTCTCCTTCCTCGTCATGATGCAGCAATGGCCGTGTATAATCAGCCTCCTGCCTGGCTGATAAAGAGCTTCGCGATGCAAGATCCTCATTCCACCCCGAAGTCCATTCTTCATCCGGTCTAGCCGCCGCGAACGAGGAACGTCGAGGGAGGACTTCGGGGAAACAAGCGGCTCGTTGCCATGAGCGAGCAAAATGATCAATGCTGTTGGGGCCGCCCGCAAATCTGAAGCGCGCAGAGAACGAAGACGACCTAGACAAAGACGTTAATTGGAGAAAGTTCTATGAGCGAGACGATCGTGATATGTTTCACCTTTGTCTCTGCAAATCGTAGTCATTGATCGGACGGCCATCGTAGCTCGTTGAGCTGGCTTGGCTGTAGGCATCGGAATCAAAAATCCTCCCTTCATATGACTGCTGGTCATTGCCGGACAAGTCCCCGTGATTCTCAGCGGTCGACAATGATTGCTCCTGCATCGCTCCTTTTTACCTTCTCTTTTCTATTATATCCCTTCGGCCAAAGTTTCTCCCACAAAATATGGTTGGTGAACCGTCGAGGAAGTTGTACGGACGAACAGATAGAACAAAGTCAACAAGGTATTAGTTGTCTTGGTCGTCCTGACAATAGATGTGCAAATCCTGGATTATCGAGTGCTTGGATACTGTTTCGAATGTGCCGACAAGAGCATATAGAAACGGGGGAGAAAGCAACTTTAGACGAATATGCATTGTAGTGGTTTAGATAAAACCTATGAGCAGGCTTGGTGAAGTGGGGTCTAATATCAGTAAGTACCTTACCTATGCTGGCAGATAAGAAGCCACCGCATCAAGATCTAAAAATGAAAGATCATAGATTCAGATGATACAATGGACACGGACTGGTATTAAATATTGATAAACGACAGCAGAGCATGAAAACGAGGGTAAAAACCAGAGTATCACAGGGATTAATCATGGAGAATCCTTAACAGAGCGAACCTTGAGCTCTGGTATTATAAAATTCAGAGAGCAACAAAAGAGATGATTATCAGAGCCACGAGGACAGTTACCTGAGGAAGATCCAGTTCCCTATACCACCCATCCTCAATGGCCTTTTGATGCATACATATTATTGCTTGCATGAAGTACTCCTACATCATTTAAACTACGTTATTGGTACAAGGTGCTCGCTGTAACTAGCCTCCAAGATTAGGCTTATGTCATCCAGGAAGAACAGGCGACGACTGACCCATATTATTATTACTCATTCGCCTTATTATTGTCTGTCCCCTGCCACCCCACGGTGCCTGATGAAATTTGCTCCAACACCCCGCTGGACCTGGACGGCAAATTGACCAGCTTTAAGGTATGTGACTCGATTGCTTCTCTCAGTTTCTTCTCTTCTTTGTTTATCTGATTACGAATTTGTCCTTAAAAAAATAAAGAGGCGAATTTCTCCGACTTCTCTGCCTTCTAGCGCTAATAATAATCTTTCCCAGCATCAGACTGTCAAGTTGTGAAGCCTATTCTGCCTCTGGTCGCCAATTACCGTCGCGTCGCCCAACATGAGCGCGCCTCAGCCGAACGAAGCTGAGAAGAACATCGAAATATGGAAGGTGAAGAAGCTTATCAAGCGGCTTGAGGCCGCTAGGGGAAATGGAACTTCGATGATTTCTCTTATCATTCGTGAGGCTCTTCGCATTCGCCTCTTTGCTAGATGCATCGCTAACGTAAATCTCCAGCCCCCAAAGATCAAGTGTCACGAGCGGCAAAGATGTTAGCTGAAGAATTTGTATGTCCAATTCCGTGGAGTCCATATTTATGTCTTAATTGCTCACTGACGGAACTGGTAGGGTACCGCTTCCAATATTAAATCTCGCGTCAACCGCCTCTCCGTCCTTTCAGCCATCACTTCTACGCAGCAACGTCTTAAGCTGTACAACAAGGTTCCTCCAAACGGCCTGGTGATCTACTGTGGTGAAATCATCACGTCAGAAGGCAAAGAACGAAAGATCAACATTGATTTCGAGCCATTCAAACCCATCAATACCTCGCTCTATCTTTGTGACAATAAGTTCCATACAGAAGCTTTGAGTGAGCTCCTTGAGTCAGATCAGAAGTTTGGCTTCATTGTCATGGATGGAAACGGCGCCCTCTTCGGCACACTGAGTGGCAATACACGAGAAGTCATTCAGAAGCTAAGCGTTGACTTACCCAAGAAACACGGTCGTGGTGGTCAGTCCGCGTTGCGTTTTGCCCGTCTGCGTGAGGAAAAACGTCATAACTATGTGCGCAAGATTGCCGAACTGGCTGTCCAAAACTTCATCACGAACGACAAAGTGAACGTTGCGGGCCTGATTTTAGCAGGTTCTGCTGATTTCAAGAATGACCTCAACCAGTCAGATATGTTCGATCAGCGTCTGCAGGCCAAGGTCATCAAAGTCGTGGATGTCTCTTACGGCGGAGAAAATGGGTTCAACCAAGCTATTGAACTCTCCTCGGAGACTCTGAGCAATGTCAAGTTTGTCCAGGAGAAAAAGCTGATTGGCCAGTACTTCCAGGAAATCAGTCAAGATACTGGAAAAGTCTGCTATGGTATTGATGACACTTTGAAGGCCTTGGAACTCGGTGCCGCGGAGACTCTCATCGTTTATGAGAACCTCGACGTGACTCGATATGTTCTCAAGACGTCAACTGGCTCCGAAGTCATTGTCCATGCCACCAAAGCTCAAGAAGAGAACCGAGCGTTGTTCACCGACAAAGACACTGGCACTGAGATGGAAGTTGTTGAGCAGACTTCTTTCCTCGAGTGGCTTGCCGAGAACTACAAAGATTTTGGTGCTACGCTGGAGTTTGTTTCAGATAAATCCAGTGAAGGAAACCAGTTTGTGAAGGGCTTTGGTGGGATTGGAGCACTCTTGCGGTACAAGGTCAACTTTGAACAGCTTGCCGACCTTGATGACGAAGATGAATTTTACGACGGTACGTCTTGAACCCTAAAAAATCTTATCATGCATGCTAACGCAGGGTATCTGTGCAGATTGACGGTTCAGCGGCCTCGCAGAGAGCGAGGATGAACGGCCAGAAGTTCCCAACACGGATCTTTTGACGGCTCGCCCTGTCGTTCGTGAAGGCGGCTTTCATGGTGAATCCATGGCTACCTTGGCACGTACCGCGCTGTGGTCTGGACAAAACTCTATAAAACTGCTCAGAGGTTTGTCTATAATCCATTTCCGACATACAATTTGGTCCGGAACCGAGTCTGACAAGTCGCCGCGCATCAGGGCCATCCAAGCTCCGTAACATGGTCACTGAGGCTACCTAGTTTTCTCTGGGTTGGCCCGAAGAGTGCTTTGCTGAAGAATGGTGGATCTGTTGTGCAGAACTCAGCCGCTCACAAAACATGGTCGAGCTTAAGAACTAAGCTGGCGAGATTGAGATTGTTCTTTTTTGGCACAGTTTACTGGGTCGCAATTCCTTCCATTTACGCTTGTTATTTCTGCGTTCTCCATGTGACCAACGGCAACTAGCAATGCACCTCGGTATTTGCCAGAGTGGCTCTGTTCGCGATGAAACACGAAAATGTCTTCTTAAGAAAGTTGCCGTTCCGTATATAGAAAATCATATCTGTGCTTTCCAGGGATGTCAGATGAAATAGCATGTGCCATGTATCAAACGCTGCTAGTTGAAAGCTGGTCTTTCCAAGTGCCAAGATGCCTGCAGCCCTCAGTAACCTGCTGCATCTTATCCAGAATTTTAGTAACCCCCTGGCTATTCTGGTCCGTAGGGAATTGTTGGCATTCGACAAAGAATACATATTGCCAAGCCCTCCTCTGACTCGGTCGCGTGTTGATGCTGGTAAGATTCATACCAAATTCCTTGAATATCAACAGAGCGTCTGCCAATGCCCCTGGAAAATCCTGACGGATTCTGAACGAGATCAGAGTCTTTTCCGCAGACGGTGTGGGCCGGGGTTTTAATGCGACTGAGGGCGCTTTCACAGCGTCAAATGGAAGCCGGGCTGTACGTTCTGACTTTGTGTTCCTCAGAACGAGGAATCGCGTTGTATTGTCGGCCTTGTCCTCGATATTTTCCGAGAGTACATCTAGGCCGTGGTAGTCAGCAGCGAACCGGCTAGCTATGGCACCACTGTGTTCTTGTGTCTCAAGTGAGACCATCTCAGCAGCTTTCGAGGTCGAAGAAACGTCCTGCCTTTCGATGCCTTTTAAGAATTTCGCCAGGAAATTCTCACATTGACCCCATGCCTGGGGGTGTGTATAGAGCTTTGTTATTGACCTTATATCCGGTTGCGACAGGCCCTTTCGAACCAGCAGGCAGTGGTGAACTGTCAGATAATGCTCTCCGCATACATTCACATCTTCGTATAGCCCATATCGATCTCCTAAAAGATCAAGATTCTGGACAACTGATCCGTTGGTCGAATTCTCGAAAGGAATGATGGCATAGTCTGCTTCGCCCTGCTGAACTGCGGCGAAAGCATCCGCGAACGATAGGCGGGGTGACAACTCAGCAGAAGATCCAAAACACTCAACGGCAGCCTGTATCTTCACATTAATGATGTTCGAAGTTTATGATGAGCTCACCATTCCTGACCTGATGGGAAAAGGACGCTGCAGGGCCAAGAAAAGTCACTCTGATTGGCTCCATGAATCCCTGAACCTAGGTGGACTCCTCCTTAGACTCTCTGGAACAGTTAAGGAGGTCAATCAGCTGCCCCCCTGGCACTGCGGGAACTTTGTCTGAGCTCCGGCATTTTTGACTTGGGAGTTACTCGTAGCTGCGAGCCGATTAGAGCAAACAAAACAAACAGAAACTGCAAGTTTCACTGCCACAAATGCCTAGGATATCCAAGAACACAAGTCATCTTTGCTTGCTGTTGGACTGCTCACAAGAATCTGGCATTACTAGATGAGAGCAATTACAGCCAACCTCCCATTGCCATTGGGACGGCTATACACAAGCACCAAAATGCGAACTTACTCTACATTCTCTGGAAGCTTGCGCCGGGAATTGATCGCACGACGACTTCCCTTAATATATGACTATCTTCATCCTCAACCGTCTCATCTCTTGAACCTGACTTTGGTGGATATCATTCCACACTTGCAGCACACAGGGTACAAGCATGCGACCCTCCCCTCAATTAAGCGACCGCCCCCCCTGAAGCCAGGGCATCATTTAGTCTACTTTCCTCCTCAAGTCACTCTATCTCAAATACTCCCGGATGGTACTGATACATTGCATTTCCCGGGACAGCCATTTATCAGGCGTCTTTGGGCTGGTGGAAGGGTTAGATTCCCATTGATGCACAGTCCTCTCCTTGATGGCAGTCGGGCTGTCTGCATTGAAACAATTCGGGACGTAATAGTCAAAGGCCACCAAGGAGAGGAAAAACTTTTGGTCGATATAGAGAGACGTATCGGCACGGTCAAGGAAGACGAGGAAGAGGAGAGTATCAGGGGACGTTTATGGAGTGACGACGCAAATGAAAACAGGGAGTCATCGGTTATTGAAAATAGAAGCCTAGTTTTTATGCGCCAAAAGACCACACAGCAAATCGAAACAGATAAAGGGGACTTTGAGAAGGTTCGCAGGAAAATTCAGGGTAATTGAGACCAAGCCAAGTTTTGCTTTCGAGGACGTGCTGACTGTCATTTCTTTTGCCTAAAGCTCCCTCAGACGCCGACTTTCGCCATAAGATCAAACCGACCAAGGATTTATTATTTCGATTTTCAGCACTCACATTCAATGCGCACTCCATTCACCTTGACACATCTTATACCCAGAATGTCGAAGGTTACCCAACTCTCCTTGTTCACGGCCCACTGACTCTCACATTGCTTCTCACGGTTTTGCAGAGCTACTTAGTGGAGTCTAACCGCGCAATCAGTGAGATAGAATATAGAAATCTGTGTCCTTTATATGTTGACGAGGACTTAACCATCTGCGGTAAGCCCAGGTTCGACAAGGGAAGCGGGGCTTGGGATATTTGGATCGAAGGACACAACGGTGGTCTGGCTGTCAGAGGCACTGTGAAGACAAACAAGTGTAAAGATTCGCGGTGATAGACTTGACAACTAACAATGATCACATTGTGCTTGTACCTCGGATGGCAATGAAAGTGAAGCTTGTCCCAAACTTCCGGTGCAACAATGGAACAAATTACCATGCATGCGCCCAATGGACCGCTCCTCAATGAGAGCTTCTCTCACCTGATCGAAAACTTGAAACTTAGCGGATGTCCTCGCTCCCAGCCAGTAGCACAGTTTGTGATGAGCGTTCGATACGAAGTCATTAGCCTGGAAATATTAGGTCTGTATACGGACCTTGTCGCTTGTGCGGTAGTGCTTAGAAAAAGAAATAAAGAGAAAGAAAAGCTTTGTTCATGGAAGAGTACAAACGAAGAAAGGGTTCGGATCCGGCGTTTCCTACCAGGCCATCTTGAGTGTAGTTCAATCACATGTATCCCTAGACAGACTACAGCTTGGGATTACATAGCAGGGGCACTGCTCATCAAGCATAGCTCTTTATTCCATCTGACAGACCCTGCTGAAAGCATAACCACAACATTTAGGGTATCAGTCCTATGTAAAGAGAAACAGAAAGTAGAAAAGCTAATATTTTGTCTGATGAAGAAGTACTACGAGAAGCCCTACTCTGTACATGAGGTCCTAGTTAAGACGATGTAACTGTAAGTCATGACTCTGCACGTGACCCTACGCCCACTAATACAGTGGGTCTGTTCGTTTACCGGAATGGAAAAACTTATCAAGGCAGCAGCTAGTTCTTGCAAACATTTTATTCCTCCTCCGAAAATCTCCTCCTCTCACCTTTCGATACAACTTCTCAATGACATCAAGTTGACATTCTTCGCAAAAAACTGCCACTATTCTATGATATGTAAACTGTGATTCTTCTAACAACACAGTCAGGCAGTGGGAGCCAAATTTACAATTCCACTCACTAACATGGATCGTTTCTGGTCTGCTCCTCCTGTCACGAGGTACACCTACGCCGCCTTGAACGCATTATTTTGAGGGATCCTGTCTAACGTTCGATGACAGGACGCTTACTGCTCTGACATTTGCTCAATCAGCTCTGGTTTATGGTGGCCTGCTGAGCGGCTATTATGTTGTGTTCATTCCGAGGCTGCTTTTTAGGCTTCCGCCTCAGTTATGGAGATTGTTTTCACCTTTTCTTCTGACAGGATCGGGTCTTTCCTTCATATTCGATCTTTACTTTAGTACGACTTCATGTCGGACCGGTTTTTAGCCACGCTAACCTGCCATTAGTGTATACCTATGGCAGCGCACTTGAGACAGGCTCACCCCGTTTCAGTTCGCCTGGTGACTTCTTCACCTACGTTTTATTCGTAGCCTTTGTTATCATGGTAAGTCTAGAGGACAAGTATCGGATGGGTCATCATCCGATAGAAAAACCACCACACTTCCTCAACGTTTCCTCGTCTCTGCAAACCTTCTCTTTGAACCCTAGCATAGTCACCTCGCGTTATCTGCCCGCCCAGCCTCAGCTAGCTGAAGCGGTTCCTGGAAGCGAGGAAGATCACCCCTGCATCCCATACAGCACCTCTCTCATTGATCCTATAGGGCTGTATGCGTTGTGGGTATGGTGGGAAGACCACTGAGATAGCCATCGTGATTAAATAGTATCACGTTGGTGGTTATGGTGCCCTACATTCCATATACTCTTCTATCTGTAATGTCAATCATGAATTGTTATACTCTCTCCTGAAACCTGTTCCAATTTCTACCTTGGAAGTAGCCTTGATCAAGTACACAAAGCTGATGAATCGAAGGTCACCGCAGGTTACTTCTTAAGTGGCGTAATCTTCACCTCGGGTGAGCCTAACCTGGCGAATCGTGTTTTCACCCATGCTAACTTGCGACAGCTCTGATTCTAGCATTTGTCTACACCTTTGCACAGGACAATCGAGGGAAAAGAGCAACCTTTATTATCATCCAGATACCCATCGAATACTTACCCTGGGCGATGCTCGTGCTCACTCTGGTCATGGCCGGGTGGCCCGCTGCGTTGAGCGAGGGCATGGGAATCATCGCTGCCCACTTGTATGATTTTCTCACACGTCTTTATCCGACCTTCGGTGGAGGAAGAAACTACCTCACCACGCCAGCTTTCGTAAGGAGATTTTTCGCCGCCTACGCCCCTAGAGGGGAATATCGGGCCTATGGAACAGCCTATCGGCCAGCGGGTCAAAACCCCCCTCCCTCGTCAAGTGGCTGGGCTTCATCCTTTCAGAGCCCATGGGGTGGAAGGGGGCCGGGGCGGAGACTTGGTGGTAGCTAATTCATCTGAAAACAGGTCCTAGAGTCCGACGCTCTACTGTTTACTCCTACCTTTGTCTTTGCTGATGCAGTTGATACTGCATAGTACTATGCCTGGCAGGTCCCTTATTTTAACGAGTGTCACCTCCGCTTTATCCTTGAGATCAAGAAGTGTCATTTCATTCATAATCCAGTACATCATGATGTTCAGAACACAAAACGTTATAAAAATGTAGACGCAGGACCCCGACAGTCTCTTGTATAAGCGAGAGTAGACTTCGACGGTGTTAGCTATTTATGCAGCGCACCGCAGCGCAGACTTACGCAAACCGTGGATTACTTTCACTGAAAGTCACGGGACTATCGGCCTGATTCTGAGCTTCCCGACGCTAACCTCTTTGGTAGTTAGACCTTTTGCCGCACTTCAAAATTTCCCAAAAGTTTCTTTTCTCACTAGCGCCAGAGCAAAACCTTGGTGAAGTTGGTGCAATTTTTCCTGCGCTTCTCACCAAAACGCGCCTTCACCTGGTGACATTGAACTCTTGAAGCCAAGTTTCAAGATGGCAGTCTCAGTGGCTAAGGAAGAGATGGACTACACCATCAAGCCTGAAGCTGGTGCCTCCAACATCTCCACAGAAGAGTGGCCTTTGCTGCTAAAGAATTATGACAAGCGTACGTGAATACTTGATCAGATTCATGGTCCTTCGCTCTGCACGATGGCAGGGTTATTCTTGTGTAAAGTAGCTTGAACTGATTTTATCCCAGTCATGGTGAGGACCGGTCATTTCACACCAATTCCCGCTGGTTGCTCGCCTCTCAAGCGTGACCTGAAGTCCTACATCAGTTCAGGTGTGATCAACCTTGACAAGCCTTCCAATCCATCTAGTCACGAGGTTGTCGCTTGGATGAAGAGAATTTTGAGGTAAATTGTGATCTTTCTGCGCTGAGATTCGGAACCAGATGCTAAACCATGGCATGTTTTGCAGGGCGGAGAAAACTGGTCACAGTGGAACTCTTGACCCGAAGGTCACCGGTTGCTTGATCGTCTGCATTGACCGTGCGACCCGCTTGGTCAAGTCCCAACAAGGTGCCGGAAAGGAGTACGTCTGCGTCATTCGTCTCCATGACAAGATTCCCGGTGGTGAGGCTCAGTTCAAGAGAGCTCTTGAGACCTTGACTGGCGCTCTCTTCCAGCGGCCTCCTCTGATCTCTGCCGTCAAGCGTCAACTTCGTATCAGAACGATCCACGAAAGCAAACTCTACGAGTTCGACAATGATAGACACCTTGGCGTGTTCTGGGTCAGCTGCGAGGCTGGAACTTATATTCGAACTCTTTGCGTTCACTTGGGTCTTTTGCTTGGTGTCGGTGCTCACATGCAGGAACTTCGGCGTGTACGAAGTGGAGCTATGGACGAGAACAATGGCCTCGTGACTCTTCATGACGTCCTGGATGCGCAGTGGATGTACGATAACCAGCGGGACGAGTCTTACCTGCGCAGGGTCATCCGACCTCTCGAGTCTCTTCTCACGACCTACAAGCGTATTGTCGTTAAAGACAGCGCCGTCAATGCTGTGTGCTATGGCGCAAAGCTCATGATTCCTGGTCTCCTGCGCTTTGGTAAGTTCGATTTGCTCTCGGTGATGTTGATTTTCACCTAGTTGCTGACCGATGTCCAGAGGCTGGCATTGATGTCAACGAAGAAGTTGTTCTCATGACTACAAAGGGTGAAGCCATCGCCATTGGTATCGCTCAAATGTCTACTGTTGAACTTTCCACCTGCGATCATGGTGTCGTAGCTAAGGTCAAACGTTGCATCATGGAACGTGATCTCTACCCTCGCAGATGGGGTCTGGGCCCTGTAGCTCTGGAGAAGAAAAAGCTCAAGTCAGCTGGAAAACTGGATGTAAGTTGCTGGGTTTCGCCTTCCAACATAGGTTTTCGTGGTTTTTGTACGCTGACCAGCCCTCAAGAAATATGGCCGAGCAAATGAGGACACCCCCGCCAAATGGAAAACCGAATACAAGGATTACAGCGCCCCCGAAGAAGCTTCCGCTCAGGCTGCACCTGGATCGACAGCTAAAGAAGACGTGGCTGCTGCCCTAACTACCGAACAGGACGAGGCGCCTTCTTCACCCCAGTCCAAGATGGATGTCGATGAAACCAAGGAAGAGAAGAAACGCAAGAGGCATGAGGGTGAAACAGCAGAGGAACGTGCAGAGCGTAAGCGCAAGAAGAAGGAGAAGAAGGAAAAGAAAGAACGGAGAAAATCCAAGCAGGAGAAGGAGGACAGTGGTGATAGCGACTAGACATATACCGGGACCTTATTACTTACTCGGATACCGGGCTTCCATGGTTGGAAGACTTTGTTGCTGCTGTGTATTTGCTTCTCGAACCGTCATGCGGGCACGCTGTCTGTACCTTATTTTGTTTCTTGTTTATCGGAGTCTTGGGTTGAAAAGGGAACCAATGTTAGTCTTTCTTGTATCATTTACGACTGCTCTCAAGTCAGCAATCACAGAAAGAGCCTTTACTGCATCTCTCATTGTAATATGGTTCCACCAACGTGGGTATCCAGGTAGCGTCTTATGATTCAGGTATCGTCCTGGATTACCAGTGTGCATCTATCTATGTAAAACTTATGTATTACTTATCTGCTCTTACTGGCGATAAAAGTACTTTGCGTTCATGTTGGTTGTTGGTTGTTGGAAGGGCCTTTCTGTGCCGTGGCTCGTGACCTTTTTCGCCGATGTTCTCCGCACCAAGTCCGACAAGCCGATTATTTCCCCGCCGCCCGTCCCACCTGCTACATGGATGCCATCTTGTGTTGCGTCGCAACGGCTTTCTCTCTCTTTGTTATCTCACTCTAATCATAGGCTTATTCTCCCAAACCCCCACGATCTCCCTTCTTTCAGGCTTAACGTGAAAGAAGTATCGAATACGACCACGCGCAGACGATCCGGAAATCTTCATGGCTGCAGAGCTGACGTCAACGAAGCTCAATGCGGAGAATCATCTGCTCCTGGTAATTCCCTCCACTGCCCATGTCTATACGCTGTAGCTGATGTTGGCATCTTGTGGTCATGTAGGATCAGCCTCTTCTACGATTACCTCACGAGCTTGCACGGAGAAACTTCAAATCTGTTCAACGACTTGTCGAGAGGGAAAGGGAATATGTCATTCACGCGCTCAAAGAGGCCGCCAATGCCTCCCTGTCAAATGATCAGACACCGGATCAAACTCTCGCGGCTCTCGACTCTATGTTGGCTCGCATGCAAAACCTGAAACGGAAAATGGAAAGTATCCAGCAAGAGGAGAAGAAAATCCAAAACCAGTCACGAAAACGTATACAGCATCTGGAGCATCTGCACCAAATTCCCAGCTTGGCAGATGTCAAATATGACCAGTGGTCCAGGATTAGGCTGGATAGGCTGGTGGTTGATCACATGCTGCGTTCCGGGTACACTGAGAGTGCTCAGCGGTTGGCCCAGGAGAAGGGCATCGAAGACCTAGTTGATCTGGATGTCTTCGTACAGTGCCAAAGGATTGCTCAGAGCTTGCGCCGTGGGGAAACAAAGGACGCTTTGCGGTGGTGTAACGAGAACAAAGCGGCGTTGAAGAAGAGCCAGGTATGTGGAGCACACATGAACATCGCTGTGTCTCGAATCCAGTCACATTCACTAACAAACCAGACACAGTTCAATCTGGAGTTTGAATTACGCCTGCAGCAGTATATCGAAATGCTCAGGACAGGTGATAGAGGAAAGCTCATGGACGCTATGGCACATGCCAAACGATATCTTACTCCGTATACCGAAACGCAATCAAAAGAAATTCATCGAGCAGCAGGACTACTCGCCTTCCCTCAGGACACTAAGGCTGAACCGTACAAGGTACATCCGTCTAATTTTTGTCTTCAAATCCGCCCGTTGTGCCTGAAAATCGCAGCTAACCGGTTTTCAGTCAATGTACTCATTCGACCGGTGGAATCACCTGTCTGACCTCTTCATCCGGACCCATCATGAACTTCTATCGTTGCCTTCAAGCCCGTTATTACATATTGCATTGTCTGCTGGCTTATCGGCCCTCAAGACTCCATCTTGCCATTCCGCATATACCTCCTCGAGCTCCAACTCTTTATCTACTGCGACATCCGTATGCCCCATATGCTCGACTGAGCTGAATGAACTAGCGCGTAATATGCCGTACGCCCATCATGCTAAGAGCTATGTTGAAAGTGACCCGATTGTCTTGCCAAATGGTAGGATTTACGGTCAGCAGCGGTTACTAGACATGAGCAAGAAACTTGGCTGTGTCGAAACAGGCAAGGTGAAGGATCCCACCACCGGCGAGATCTTCGACGAGAGTGAAATGAAAAAAGTTTACATCATGTAGTTGTGGAGGTGTCCAAAATATCGAGGCTGCTGCATGTTTTCATATTCTCTCCCGATTTGTATATCATTACTCAGAAGGTACTGGAGAGGCTAAGTACGAGAACAAAACCCTTAACAGCTTAGTCGCTATCGTCACTATCGGACGAGTCCCTTGACCTTTTCTTATTCTTTCCCTTAGTGTCCAATCTAGTAGCCTGCGGATTCTTTGGCGGGGCAACTTGATCTTCTTGCCTGGCCTCAAAGACATACATTCTTGCCTCGCGGTCTTCTCCTCTCCAGCCCCCTCTTCCCCCATGCTTTCCTTCGACCTCGCCGAGGGTTCGAGCGTGCGAGTATCCCTGGTAAGAGCTCCACGGAAATCTAAAACTCGTGACTACCCGCAAACCGGCGTGCCGTGCAAGATCCTTGATATTCCATAGGGTGTAAGGCTCGCCTTCAAACATGGTCACTAAAATTTGTCCTGGCTCGGTCCTGTATCTACCTCGCCGTCCATGGGCGAGGATATCCTGATCATCCTGCTCGCCCCAGTCTGTTTCACTGTCTTCACTTGAGCTCCAGTTGTCATCCTCTTCGTCTTCATCATCGCCGTTCAAGTCTTGCGGACGGGCCGACAACAGTGGCACGCAGGCCTTAAAAAAGGCGACAAGTAATTCCTGGTTTGAGCGAACCTGTCGATTCACGTCCGTTGATAGGCCACCGACGTGTGGGAAGTTGAAACATATGATATCCCAAGGACCACCTGTAGTGGTTGCTGGCTCGATCTTCTGCCTATTTTCCTGCCAAGCAGGACGTTTGCGCTCGCGGCGTGCAAAGCCTGTGCGGACATCCTTCCCACCTCCGGCGGGAGATCCGAGTTTTCGCGCATCAACTGCGAAGAGTACGTTCGGAACCCGACGCTTGCAGTCTTGTTTCTTATCAGACTGCTCTCCGCCTTTCTTTTTCCCCTGGGTGCTTTCCTTCTCCGTCTCAGATCCATCAAGATCACTCTGTTTTCTCTTATTAGAGAACGAGCTAAGAAGATCCTGGACATGCTGTTTAGCTTGTGGATATTTGCTATATAGCATCTCTTCAGAGTCGTAGCATGTGGCCAGGATATTCCTGCAACGGTGCTGCACTGCTAGAGAGCGAGCAAATGAGAAATCCCCTAGTAAACATCTCATCAGACTATTTGCAATTCAGGAACTCTGGTGTCTTGAAGCGCAAGACACCAGGGCTCAGCCGAGCCAGCATGAGTACACGGAAGGAAAGGCACAGAATAGCTTCAGGTCGGGTCAACGTCAATACAGATCGCTACTATACTATAACTTCAACAAAGCCAACACGACGAGTGCCCTCGCAGGGTAACACATGGGGAAACATCGACGCTCGCCTGACTCTGTCGGACAAGCACATCAGACAAACGTAAATAGGGAGAATAACATTGACTGAAGGACTCTGGACGCTTCAAGTATTTGAGAAAGAAAATCATTAAAGGAAACTTTAATCTTGAAAAGCAGTACGGAAGTATAAGGAGACGAAGCACTCACCCTCACCCACAAGTAGGATGCGATCTCTCCGTCCAAATGGGACAATAGGCCGTCGATGTTGGGCCGGATTCTTCTTGTTCTTCTCCGCTGTACCATTGTTGCCAATGCCACTCTTCTGGGTCTTAGATGTCGAAGATGGCCCCGCAGATGTAGATAATCTCGAAAACGTGTGCATTTTCCGGGCTCCTTTGAAGCCAGGCCCATCACCGCGCTGGGGCCCGTTAGCCCGGGCTCTTTTCGATCTGGGCATGTCTCTAAGATATATAAACTTGGGTCCTTCAGGTCTTGTCGTCTTTCAGAACGGATCTAAACGAGGATAGAATTGAGGACGGAGCCGGTTCTCTGAACTGCCTGAATAACTGGACCCATTTAGGGACTACTCCCCCATTAAATTAAGGTAGGACTCAGATCCGAAGAAAAAAAAAAAAAAAAAAAAAAGAAAAATAGTAGTTCCAAACCTGCGCGCGGGCCAATTCATCCCCCGAAATCAATGGATTTTCTGAATTAAATCTCAGGTAGGGAACAGAGACAACTGGCCAGCTCATTTCGCAGATTACTGTTTTGTTATATCCTGAATTGATTTCTATTCTGTATTTTTTAAATCCTCAGCAATTTTGACAAAGAACGGACTATGTCACCCAACCCGCTCTATAACCATATTAAAAAGAAGTACAAGGTTGTTATATACATCACACTGTCAAGGAAAAAAAATCCACTGTCTTCAAACATCTGATCTGTCTGCAGCCTCAACGTCCCGAAAATTGGCATGCATATGAGCAGGTAGTATCAATCAAGACGGGGGAGGGTGAAATGAAAGCCGTGACCAAAACTTCGTGATTTGAAACAAAAATCTTAGCAGAAAGAAGGAAGCCTTCCCATCAGACCGAATACGATGAGGGTAGGCGAGGTTCCTAGGAAGCGTTATCGACCACAAAGGCCAAATGCAACAACGAAGTTGACCGAAATGCGGACAACTACGTCTGAAAGGGAGTATAGGTACATATCACGTTCATGTTAGGGGCGAGTCCACGTTTGTTTCGGGGAGCTGATTCAAAATGATAACAGGGGCGTCCGTCGTTCATGATAAGGTGCACATCGACATCTCGCTAAACCTTCACATCAGGGTGAAGTGATTCAGGAGCGCAGAGAGTCTCTCATGCTCTGGCTGCTAGCACTGACGGGGGGGTTCGACATTGGCAGCACACCAGTCTTTGGCTTGGCACTTTGCTTGATCTTGGCAACGGCGTAAACAATTCCACTGATAAAACCGACAACAATGGCAGAAACGCTGGGGAAAGTGACGGGAGCATCGAAGAAGATCAAGCCGGAGAGTGCGATGGGCAGCTTGTTCAGAGCGCCGACCATGGAATAGGTTGTCGACGAGGTCACGCGGACACACCAAGCGGAGGTGTAGGAGATGAACACGGACGACAGACCGGAGAGAATCATGGCAAATAAGATGCCGTTGCGATCGGCCGGGGGGAAATTGCGCGCGATGTTTGCCGAAGACCAGTCCTCCATCAAGAAGGTGAGAACCAGAAGCACAGGGATTGACAGAAGATTGTTGTAGAACATGGCTAAATGAGGCATAAGGTTAGACGCGAGCTCCAAGATTCCGTGGCAGAGATATAGAAACAAGAAGGGGCATACTGTCAAAGTCCTTGAAGTTGGTCAACTTGATTCGCTTGCGCATTCCCAGGACGTAGGACGAAGTGCAGAGACAGTTGATCAACATCCAGATATAACCAGCATTGAGAGTCGACACTTTGGCAGTAGCGTCTCCACTACTTTCAACTGCGTGCTTGATATCGGCCCACGCGGCGATGATGGAACTCAGGACCATAAGTCCAAACGAGAAGAGGGTCATGCCCGTCACCGAACCGCCAAACCAAAGTACCTCTCCGTAGGCGATTAGGATGATGGTCAGATTCTTGAAGATGGTGTACACAGGGATCGATAGATATTGCAGTGCCTTGGAGCCAGTGTAAATCATGCCAATCAGAAGCAGAGTGATCGGAAACCCTGGCCAGAAAGAAGACCTGTCAGAATGCTTTCCTTGGAGATACCCAACAACGGAATGGGATGCTTACACTTCTTGGCCTCATCCGAATTGAAGTCGCGATATGTAATCAGTTTGCTACTCTTGCATGTTTGAATCGCCACAATACAGACAATTGACTGGAGTAAAACGACGTTGTCAGCTCAGGCTTGGTGACTTCTACGCCCCGGCAAATCTGACCAACTTACCTGCACGCAAAGGAGGAAGAAATTGAGATTGAAATCCGTGCCGGAAAGGACATATTTGTTCATGACAGTCATCAAAATAGACGAACCGCAATAAGCCAGCACAGGCAGGATGGGATTATTGGCAAGCTGCGCAGCTGGAGGACCTCTGGGCCGAACAGCAGGGGCCGGCGCCTCGAAATTCTTATTGCCGTGGTCTAACTTATCCATTTCGACGGTATACTCATTCGTTTTCTTGTCGTCCGCCATGGTGTGAGACTGAGAATCGGATTCGAAGACCGAGGGAACAAGAACGAAATCGAGGAACGAAGGGGAGAATGCTTCAGTGGCACAAAACAATTGCTGATGAGTCGGATTCGTGAGGGAAAAAGGTAAGATGAACGCAAAAAATGAATGTGAGAAGCAATGAATGATAACACAATATATTATATAGGGAAGAGCCTTGATTCCTTTTCCACTTCCTTCAAGTTCCTCCTATTTGAATGAGGTATGTAAGGAAAGGGGGGTTGGTGGGAAATAAGCAGAAGTCCTGATAAGATGAGAATGGTTTTGTATGGAAGAAATATAATCAATCAAATGTTATTATTTTCATTACAGAGGATCACTGTTGCTATTTTCTAATTATGAATAATAATGAAGAGAATTCTCTGCCTGACGATCCAGGCCGCCGTCCCGGAAGCGGCATCCAGGAGAAGGTACGTTTGAATACAGAGTACAGGTAATGTACCTGATAATTACATACAACACAAATTACAGAGTGTTCCATAAGGTACCTTAACATAATTGATACACAAACAATCAATGGATAGAAACACTGGAGCACATTTGAGATTACTGCGAAGGTGCACATTCCGCCACTGATGGATGAGGTTACTTTCGATGATAGGATATAAGGGGAAATTCTATGTTGAGACTTTTCTCATTTCTGAGCAATAGGAGCTCAACCTCCGTATTGATCGTTATGGGTTTTATCTCCACTGTGCCCTTAACTTTACAATGACAATCGTCTGCTTTATCAACCAACCCCTTTTGGGTTCTCAAGACATTTCGAACCATGAATTCATCTGTCTCCTGAGCGTTTTCTTCTAGAACCTAATTCGACTAATAGGTCTAGAGAATAGACCTGCCAGCGCCATGAATCAAGATTCAGAGCAGAAGCACCACCCCGCTCGAGATCTGGACGACGACAATGACGACGATTCCCTGTTTAAAGCGCTCGAGAACGAGGATGACTCGGCCTACCGTGCGCATCGCATCGAACAACTCAATGCCGAGTTTTCTGCAGCCAAAAACAATCGATCCTCTTTCCGCGATCCAGCAACCACCCTCGTTGAAGAAGGCCTCTACCCTACTTTGAAAGACGACCAAGCCGTGCTTGACTTCACAACACAGACCCATCGTTGTGTCATCCATTTTGCCCATCCGGATTTCGCCCGATGCGGGGTCATGGATGAGCATATCCGGGCATTGGCAACACGGCACCATGAGGTGCGCTTCGCGCGCGTCGATGTGCGCAATACCCCCTTCGTGGTGGACAAGCTGAGCATACGAGTCCTTCCTTGTGTAATTGGGTTCAAGGACGGAATTGGTGTCGAGCGTGTGGTGGGATTCGAAGGCCTTGGAGCCGGGGGTGGGGACGGGGCTGACGGCTTTAATATCGCGACTCTAGAAAAGCGGCTGCTTTGGAAAGGGATCCTCGCCCAGACGAAGTTCAAACATAGTCAGGATGATTCTGATATATCTGAGGGTGGCAGTGGCGACGAAGGTTCCAGCAGGAGACGGCCAGGTACTGGGCGACGGACTATTCGGAGCGGAAATGGACAACACCCTGGAGGCGATGATGACGATGACGACGACTGGGACTGAGATGGCAGTATGCACCCTTAAGCTCTTTTCCACAACAGCATGACCTAGTTGATCTGTCTCGGCGGAGGAGAACAGCCATAGCTCTGGCTTGTAAATCACAATCTGGTGTGCAAACGATCATAGACATCTCAAGTGTCCAAGGCATATACAATTGGGCTAATACTGCCACTCATAAGCTTGTTTGGATGCCTGTACAGTGAGACTTAGGGGGAAACTGAAAGGATGGTGTGTCCCCCGTCCTCTCGTAATGAGAAGTTCGGTTTTGCCATGTCAAACACATCATGGGAGACATGGCCATTCATAAGCGAATGAAACTTCTTTCTTCTAGAGGACACGTGAAGAGAATCATCACTTAGGAAAACGAGTAGGAGGATCCTTCAATCATGAGAGACAAGCGGAAGGTCAATTGGCTAATATTGAACTTAAACTGCATGATCATTCAGTAAGTTACAGGCAATGTGGCTCAAGGCGAATGAGAAACAAGACCATCTTCGGAAAAGAGAAATCGAATGCTCCATGGAAGTATGGAAATACCGTATGAATAACAGAAATAGCAAGGAAAATTTATACAAGCGGTTAAAACCAGTCACACCACATCTGCCTACTCGCCAGAGGAGGCTGTTGTTCTTCAACAGGTAAAGTCAACGAGAGAAAGGGAATAGCAGCCGCGTAGCGTTGGCACAAGGGTGCTCGCAAGAAAGAGAAGGAAAGAGCTCAGGAAAGCAGGCTTAGATGGCTATATTCTTCATTTCCCCCAAGACCTCAGCTTCCGAGACCGCGGTTGTCCCTTGGTTAGACTCACGTCTCTGCACCTTTTCTGATTTGGGTGACTTCTGCTCGTCATGCTTGTCTGCTCGGTCCTGATTTTCCTTCCCAGAGATTTGGGGTGTAACCACCTCCATCAAATCATCGGTTTCAGGCTCCTTTCTATTTTCCTTGGAAGCATCTTCGGGCATCTCAACTTCAGCGCTCGTATTCACAGGACTTGTCGCTTCTTCTGTGACACGAGCTAGAGGACTCGAAACGCCGAACTGCGTCTTAGGGCTCTGAGTAGAACCGCGGTTGGGAAATCGGTGAGGAGACCGGCCTCGTTCTTCACTAGGTGTTGGGCTTCCATACGGGGATTCTTTCCCGGGTCGGCTGTTCGTGTTGAGTCCCAGTCCATTTGGCGCCTTGCGTCGAGGGGCTCTTCTGCCATATTTCTGGTCTGTCCTCCAACGCAGAATCTCCAAATAGGGCGGCTCAACATTCTGACCTTTAAATTCCAACAATTTAAGCTCATTTGTCTCCTCATCTACGTTGACCTTACCACTGCAAATATCATCCGCGACCACAGCAAGGAAAGCAGCCCAAGAGCGAGCGACAACGTATTTGCAGTCGTAGTCACGACCGAAAATGATGACCTGACCCCATTTCCCGGCGGGGCCAGGGGCCAAGTCGATCGCAATATTGTTTCCACCCCAATCACGAGCAAGAGGGATCCAGGCAGGGTGTGCGTATGCCTTCTGTACAGCGCCTGGAGGCTGTGAGTCCTGGCGGTCCAGAAGTTCTTGTCTCCAGAGAGGATTCGGGCCTTGCGGAGGTGCCGCAGAGGATGAGCTTGCTGTGGCTTTCGGGGGAGGATTCATCATGGTGGAGTTGCTCAGAAACTCTTCATTGACCGTTCTCCAGTTCTTCCATTCTTGAACGATTTCCTCGCAGTCTAGAAGCATACATCCGAAGATAACGCCTGTGGGGAGGCCAGGGCGCTCCTGACCGTCGTGGATCATAAGGGACTCCCGCACCTCCAAGGGCAGGCTGCAATCCAATTCATGCTCCAACTCATTTATATCGTTTTGAGTGCACCCCTCGCAAAGATTATCGTATAGCTCTTCGTAATTATTTTCCAGCCATCGCTCAATTTTCCGCCATGAATGGGCCACCGGGAGCGGAGGCGGAGCTCCGTCATGGAAACTTTGCATCTGAATCTCCGGGGCACCATCTGCGCCACGTTCAGTTGATCGCCGCTTCTGTGAAGAAAGCGACCTCAATCCGGGGGAATAGGGACGGTTAGGAGAACCAACTCCGGTAGGGGAACCAGTCCACCCGTTAGAGTTGGAACTTGTAGACCCTTTCGGTTGGTCATCCTCAAATGTATCAGTCAGATCCGGTCGAGACTCAATGGCGCTCGTCGCAATAGACGTGAGGGGCTCATGGCGGCTTTGACTCAAAGGTACATGTCTTCCGGTCCGATATGGGGAGTCGTGGGACGCATGTCGATCATAGGAGGTCATCGTATGCCAAAAGGAGCGCCATGCTGAACCGAAGCTGTTCGAATAAAATCAGACAATTCGCTCAGTCTCTTTGACTTCGGATGTATTATGTAGAATGAGAAGGGCTATCTTCTTTTCTTGATTCCCCAGGGAATTTCAGACAAGTGCGAAGTAGAACTTACGCGTTCGACATGTTGGGAACCTCCACAGCACTAACACCAAGCCGAGGGCGAACTGAATCTAGAAAGTTTGGGATACTCAAGTGTACCGAATGTGGGTCATTTGATTACTGACGCTGGAGGTCAGATAGGAGAGAGGTGATTTGGGACGGAGAAGATAGAGAAGAAAGGGCGAAACGACCAAGACTTTTTTCCCCCTCGATCAAGGGGAAGCGGAGGGGATGTGGTAGAAGGCGCTTGATCCGTTAAGTTTCCTGACGAAATAAGGAGATAGGATGGCAAGTATGGAGTGGTATGGGCTGTGTGGGATATAGAGAAGGGAATATCAACAAGGAGGAGCCAGAAGGAAGTATATGGATTCCAGACGAAAAGAGGTGGTGCCGATGATTATTAGTAGTCAATCGACCTTTACGGACTTGGACAATTGAAGACAAGCCAGAACGCAGAAAGCGGTAGGAATCCATCACCCAAAAGCAGACGAGCCCATGCGCCAACTGTTATTTTCAAAGACCAATAACAGAGGTAGCGGTTTTAACAATCTGAACAGGAGATATGTAGATAAATTATTGCGATATTTAGGTAGTCTACCAATGTCTCTGTAACTATGGTTGTACGGAGGAACACCACGGTGAGTACGTAGCCTTACACTTTTCCTTCCGCCGTTTTCAACGCTTCTTCGTCTCTCGAATGTCTACTTTTCTCCTCTTCAATGTCCTCTTCGGGGGCTAGCTTTAGCGCGTTCATGTGTGCGTGTTTGGACTGCGGATATTTGGATGAGCCGATCATCCATGATTTGATCATTTCATTCGCCTTGAGCCCCTGGGACTGTGGAAACTCTCATTTCCTTTCAGGTACGGAGTAGAGTTGACTGACCCATATACGTAACTAATAGTAAACTACTAGTATACAGAGTAGATGATAGGTTCATAGAGAATTAAAGGTTGGATTGATTCGCACTAAGTACAGGACTGACAGACATATCTAGATAATCTACGGAGTATATGCCACTGGCAACAAACAGCCGAAAACATCGACCGATACCATTCTGTATGGACTTGTATTCTCCTACCCCCAACGCCTTCCGCTATTAGAACAATTAGCACACTCAACGCTCACAATTGCGGCGATAAATATCGAGATCTTGTGGTTAACTAGGCCGGCTGGAAATGGCGTAGGAAATCGGACGTGAACTGCCTTAAGAGTCAAGACCCGGATCTCCTGGTCCATTGTAAGTCTAACCCAAGTTACAGAGAACCGTTTCTTAAGTCGGTGGCGTTTTAGCGAAATAATCATCGACAGGCAATCTTAAATGTGAAAGAGTTTTTGCTCTCTATGGAGTAGACAGATGCTCATCACTTCATATTCGCCTCTCTTTAATCCCTGGTTCCCCGGGCGGCTGACTCGGACACTTGATTGTTCCCTTGATGAATCTTCAAATATTTACTACTAGGATATTAAGCACTCGCCATGTCTTGGAGTTGTAAGATCTGTCTCTCAACACGAATCCAACCCGTCGTCTTCACAAGGTAGCCAATACAATACCAAACCAGTGGACCCATGAAACTCACCAGTGGCATCTATTATTAGGTAACCACCAGGGCGGGGAACGAATGGCACTCTACCTTAGTATGGAGGCTAGGTACTGTGACGGAGTTGAGTGCAAACAGTGCAAACAGCTCAGCGAATGTGACTGCCCTCTTCCTTGCCCTTTTCTAACGAAGTTATGAATTCTGCTACTTTCTGTATCTAACATCATCCATCCATAATCACGAAGAATCGAACATCATCAGTTCCATCAAATTCCATTGTCAAGTCTGCAGTACCTACGGTAGGGACCTTCTAGGGGGGGGGAGGCGGCTTCCATACAGGTTCTGGACTCGGCCAACCTCACGGCATACTTAAGGTACCTTAAATTCTTATGATGAATTTACTCCGTATTACTGTTACAAACGGATTACACCGAGCATCTAGCTAGACAAGTTAGCTAAGGTATACCAGAAACAGAACTCCTTTAAGAGTACGTAGCGAGCGTTGTAGCCGATATACCCCCATTGACTTGATCCTGGATCCCCTCTTTCCTAAACTACTCCTGTACCTACTATGTAGCGCTGTATTAGCGGCAACTCTACTCTATACAAATGATGGCCACCAGAATCACAGGCCAACAGTGCCAGAGCGGGTGCTGAGAAGGATGTGCATGACTGAGCATGCATCCCGAGACGAAGATTGAATTTTCTTTGCGAAAACTGCGTATAGTGATCGACATGGCGGAAGAGTGACTCGAAGCCATCAAGCTAAATAGCCCAAAGACTGAGAACACACAAAACAGAATATGAGGTAGAAATCAACCTAGTCAAATAACGGACTCGTTGACACCACAAATCTATCATTGTAGATTCGACGTCGAAGCAAATGCGAATAGCTTCTCACAGCCAGTCTAACCGGAAATGACAGAGGTAAAGCGATGATGTTGTAAATTGGAAGGGCAAGCGAGTAAAGTTGAGACTGTGAGACTTCATGGCGCCAGCTGCACACGTTATGCACACGTTAGAGAGACCAAGGGGCAAACGAATTCCTGAAATTCAAGGCAGAGATGGACCGTCCCAAACAAGGTACCTAGAAAACTCTCAAAGGCAACCGGACTCCGGGTTCGATGCAATAGAGGGTATATAGACGCCCCACGAAAGGACCCATAGACCCCGCCATTCAAGAGAGCAATAGCTGATATCAGAAAAATATTTGCAGAGATAACTCCATTAGATCCCATAACGAGAAAGGACATCAGTGAAACTTAGGCATTGGAAAGAGAAACAGAAAACAAGAAAGAAGACTGAGAAAAGAAGGGAACAAAAACAAACAATAGTGAGAAATCAAATAGAACGCAGGACGCAAAAGACGCGCTACAGTCCCCGCTGGAATCAATATCGTTCATTATGTGCTCAATCGATCAATCATGAAAACAAAGTAAGTCCTCTCCCGGGTGTATCGTGCAGTTATATCGTCTTAAACCCGTGCGGCAAATCCAACATGTAACGGAGAAGCCCGAGCCAAACTTCAACGTCAAGCGTACGAGCTCTGAATACCGTTCGACGGAAAGCTGGGATTAGCATCGAGTTTCAGAATTCTCCTCAAATCATCTTCCATCTTCTTTGTATCAAGAGGAGCGGAAGTGTCCGCCGGTATTGCCCCAGACTTGAAGGACTGGTGATGTGGTGGAGCGTAACAGGCTGGCTGCTGCGCATGGGGTTGAGAGAATTTCGATGACCCATAGGTCTCAAACGGCGACGGGCTTATCGGATTCATAGGATTAGGTGGAAACATTCCTTTCTTCATTGTCGAACTCTGAGGTTGTTGGACACTGCTGGAATAATAGAAAGGGGATTGTAGCCCACTTTCGAAAGTTGAGTGTTTCTGTTCAGGCGGCATGTCCCTAAAAAGGGTCGCTGGCGGACCCGAACTAGTCCTCATGGGAGTCGCGTAATGAGGTACGTTAGGGCTGAGATTTGGTCGCGTAGTGTGACCGATGGCTTGATTATGGTTTAGAATAGACGCAGTTGAGGGCCTCTGAGGTCGTGGATTCAGCAACAGATCCTTGAGAGCTTCAGTCTTCGCTCTTCGTTCTTCCTCGTGGAGCTCCGGTGTTGGAGAAGAGGGCGAGCTCGAAGATCGCAACGCGTCCATGCGATCTTTGTAGGACGTGGCGAAAGAAGGCCCGATTTGAGAGTTCCGTAGGCCTGAATTTTCCATCTCTAAAGGAAAAATACCCGCGGAGGCTCCGTTTTTACAGTTGGGTATCTGGTGACGTTGAACTCTGGAATCTGTTTGTGGAGACCGAGTACCAATATTGGCTTCAGGACTCCGCTGAAGCTGAGAGTTTCTGGCTTCAACAGCAGCTTTGAATAAGAAGTCAAGAGGCGTCGAATGTGACTTTTCCGACTGAGGTTGAAAACGTGGCCGCGGCTTTGACGGTGTAGTGTCCAGGTCTAGGCCAGCTTCGAGATGGTCCCCTTCGATTTCCTGTGCGGGGTCTGATTCTGGCACAGACTTCGAGAAAAAGCTCGGAATTGGGAGCGCTGAAGGAGCAGGCGACGCATGGAATGTTGGGCCCGCATAATGAGGGCTGTCTTTGACTTGGGGAGTACTGCTGGCTGGATGCGAGGATGTATGTCGGTGTCCGTTGTTGTGCGCTGGCGAGGGTTTAGGGGCGTCGCGTGGCTTTCTGTTTGAGCGGGGATTCTTTCTCTTAGAAGGATTATGAAGATTAATAGATGTATCGGTAACTGTCTCTCCAGGGCTCGAATTCCCCGGTGGCGATGACGGAGGGGTGGTGAGCAAAGCCACCTTCTGGTTAGAAGGGGTGGTTGTTTTCTTCGGGTTGCGCCGGTTGCTCCGAGATCCCTTGGGCGTCGGAGGAGTAGATGTACTCGACATTGCGACTAGATGGCTTAATAAATAGGCAGCCTTTGGAGATTCGTGGAAGAACTTGAAGTGCAACTGATCAATAAAGAGCGAGGTCACGGATAAGAATAACAGCAATGACGGATAAAGCCGAGTCACCGTGATACTGCCCAGCAGTCGATATCAGATACTTCAACGCTAGAAAAACACAGCAAGAGATGACGAAATTGATTTCAGAACGTCCAGGGAAATGCAATGGCCAAAGCTGTCCGGTCAAGGAAAAGAGGGCGAGCTGAGCACAAAGTAAAGAAGGATGGTCTATCAGTCGAGCGAGTTTAGAGAGTCGCAATGGAAGCGACAGGTCGAAACACTTGAGCAGGCGATAGATCTAGATAGGCGAACGCAAGGAGAGAATGGACACAGGGTAGAGACGCATGTTTGTAGCTGTAGACATTTGAAGTTGGAGTAAACTGGCAAGTGGACGAAATGAACCTTGGGAAGGGCGGGAAGAAGTCGGCTGGGGAGAGTCAGGGAACTCTAAGTGGGGATCTGCGATGACTAACAGTGCCCAAGCAAACATTAAGTGTGGTCAGGTTATGGAGTAGACTCTACGCCACTTCGGCCTCATTTGGTTCTTGCAAACACAATCAAACAGGCAATTTCATCTGTCGTGAGGCTTTCAAAACAGCCGCTCCATCTCTTATCAACAGAGACGCGAGTGTGCAGGATCGGATCATCTCTTTCTCGTACTACAGCAAGTGGTATGTACCCAACTCCTCAGAGGACCTCTTATCAGTTCTATACTCCTAGTAGAAAGGTATATCGCCAGAAAACTTACGTCAGTACCAGTCTTCACCGCAACATCCGATAATACCCTGCCATCACTCCCAACTACGTAATTCGAGATTATTGGCCCCTCCTTTGACCCTTTCACAAAACTGCAGTGAGCCCCGGCATCTCCTAGAACGTCTGTCTAGGTAGCTAGGGTAAGGAAGAATATCATGATGGCGGATGTGGAGATGAAGGAGGCAACCGCCGGGGCCTCAGCCAAGGGCAAAGGCGTGTCCAAGGGCTCAGAAGGGGCTAGTGACGGCAAGAAGAAGTTCGAGGTGAAAAAGGTACGACTGAATCGATGCATACTTGCCATTTCTGAGAAAAGGCTGGTCTAATACACGGTTGACGCAGTGGAATGCCGTCGCTTTGTGGGCCTGGGATATCGTCGTCGACAACTGTGCAATCTGCCGCAACCACATCATGGATTTATGTATGTCTCTCACACCTTTATTTTGTTTGATGGATGCTCATCTGCTTCGCACAGGTATTGAGTGTCAGGCGAATCAAGGTTCATCAACAACTGAGGAGTGCACAGTAGCCTGGGGAATTTGCAACGTAGGTTTCGCTTTAGCGACCGCTTTTTCTTCATCTGAGGCTAACAAATGTTCTGCCTCTCAGCATGCATTCCACTTCCACTGCATATCTCGCTGGCTCAAAACCCGGCAAGTTTGTCCGTTGGATAACAGAGACTGGGAATTCCAGAAGTACGGCAGGTAGATTAAAGATACGGGGATTTACGCAAGTCTCAGTTTGATTGCTCCTTTTGATCTCTCATAACCTAGAATATGGACTCTATCGATCGTTCTGGAATTTGAATCGACATGGGGAACGACGGTTCGATGGCGGGAAGCGAACCGGGTTGGATGGCGTCCACGGTTTCTCATCAAACGTTGCTTGGCCAGAGGCTTTGATGCGCAAATCCAACCTCGTCACGATCGCAAAGATAAGATGGTTTCATAAGGTATTCGATTGGTCGGTCAAGGGGATTATTAGGAGATTATGCAACTTTGACACCGTCAACCATGATGCCTGGGCCACCCGCACTCCCTGTCGTGGGGACAAGCCATTTCTCAGGATGCTTGTTGTACATAGGCCAAGGAGGGATAACAGCCAATGCCGTCACTAAAGTGCCCGCCAAACCAGTCCAGAGCGTTAAATGTATATCTTCGTAGATGTATCCGATGAGGAAAGCAGCGACCTTTAGGAACGAGGAGAGCTTGTAAGTCAACGAACACAAGTGAACATGGGGATGTAAGGAGAGAGCGGTTATATTGATCTTGAATCTGTACTTACTCCTGAAATGATCAAAAGAGCTGTAGAAAGCAGTTCGGCGATGCGCTGGCCGTTGAAATCCTAAGTCACCATCAAGTTGCCAGATTAGCTTCTAACCCCAGTGGCTAAATAAGACTAATTAAAGACGAGTGCGTCCAGGAGGCAACAAACAATCTGGCCTTCGAAAGCATCCTGAATGGGCGCAAGAATATCATCCATAACAAAGATATTGCAAGTAACGACTATTATCTGGTTGTCCAATACTCAATATCGGTTTTCGGGCTGGGGATGAAGCTCCAATAACGGTAGAGTTGATCGCCCGCAAGGCGGAGCGGATCAAGACTGGCCCGCCTGGGGTTGGCTTGACCGCCTTTGGATAGGTACGGCTAAGCCGGTAATGTCTGAGAGGAGTTGGATAGGTATATGCTCAGATATATATGCTCTGTCATTTTCTTTTAAACACCAAGTCACTTTTACATGCCAAGGCAGATTTCTCGACAAACAATTTCAGAAGTACTAAAATTCTCATTTGTGATGAGACCTGAGCTGGGGTAAGTAAACCCCTCAAGGGCCCGGATATTGGCCTGCCCATGATGCATGTAAATGAGTCGAGCGACACCGCACAAGGGCAGGAAGTTAGCCCAACTTAGACATCAACAGTCTCGAAAATAACATACAAAACCATGGAACATCTCAAAGAGAAAGATGCCACCAGTCGTCTAGTAATTTCGCCTCCTGCTGCTTTTGTCGTAGATATATTGAGTAACGAAGCCTCAACGATGTACTGTGGCGCCGTCTTGGGCAGGCTCCAGTAACTTCCACTGGCAGGAGATGTTGTTGGAAGCAAAGTGGGACATGATCCGGTCCGCAATTTCTTCGAATCTGTCGGTGGCTAGAGCCAAAATGGTAGGTCCTGCACCGGATAGACAGATCCCAAGCAGGCCCGGCTGGGTAGATGGGTTCATGGACTGAAGAATCTCCGTCAAGCCTGGGATAAGTGTCTTCCGGTATGGCTGATGGACCTTGTCCTGCATTGCCAGGTAGATCATATCTGGGTCTGGCGGAGAGCTGCCTAGTGCTGCGGGAAGCAATGCAGCACGTTGTAAATTGAAAACCTAGCGAAGAAGATGCGAATTAGACCGACGAAAAGCGCATCGCCAACGATTCGCCATGCGGATGATTGAGATGGGTGGGACTTACGACGTCTGCTCTCGTGTACGTGGTGGGTAGGACGTTTCGTGCATTGGCAGTGGGCACCACAAAGTCCGGGATAATTGCGATGGCCTTGATTTCCTTGGCCCATTGAAACTTTCGATAATGGCCGATGCCCAGAGGAGGCTCAGGGGGCCTCCTGCCAGTGTCAATGCCACCTGCCGGGGCAGGGAGAACTTCACTGAGCGGGATTTCCTTGCGGGCTACATCCTCAGGTTTCAGCTCATTCAAATAGGTACCGACGAAGCCTCCAAAGAGTGAGGCAGCGACATTGTCCGGGTGCCTCTCTAAAGAAGAAAGGTAACCATCAGTAAGAAGGCCAAATATGATATGTCTGATGTGCAACTCAAGCCATATTCAACCCAGGTGGGCAACAAAGCCAGGTTTACCTACCAATCATCAAGCAATAATCCAGTAGCCTGTCCTTGCTCAACCCGAGATGACCTACTTCATTTCCCAACATCACGCCAGCGACCACCGCTGTGCCTGACGAACCAAGACCCCGACCCAGAGGAATGGGATTTACAATATGGACTCGGGTCTCAACAGGAAATGCCCTTTGGTCATGGCATCTAAGTACGTACAGAGCTACACGGGTGATCAGGTTAACCTCCGGGTCCAGGCTAATCTTCTCAGTACTCTTGCTCTGATCTTCATACGTAATCACACAATTCAAAGGGTGCTCGGACGATGATTTGGAAGAGTCAATGGTGACATGGAGTTCGAGGTGAAGAGACAATGCTAGGCCGATGACATCGAACCCAGGGCCGATATTGGCCGATGAACAGGGCGTTCTGATAATAAAGGAGGAGACAGACATCGCAGTATCAGGGATGTCAAATACGGCCAGATCAACGGTCTGATTGGAAAGGCATGAAAAAAAGACAGGAGCGTGAAAGGGCAAATAATTGGATTAAATGAACAAATTGGCTGGTATTCCTCGATACTGAGCAGCAATTACAGTTGAACCTACGAGTGACTCTTTCAATTCTTGGCACACATCGCAGGGAAAAAAAAACCAAGCCGACGTCGGGGCTCGATGGAAGGCTACTTATGTAGTACCTCTCTACCTCTTATGGCCTACAGTATTATCATTATTGGCCTGCAAAAAACGAAGCCAGATAAAAGCAGAAAGCACTTTATAAGCTTCTTAATTTCTTTCAGCATGAGAGTGCAGTTATAATGATTATGACTGTAGAGTCAGAATAATGAACTTAAGCTGTTTGATGTTATTTTCTGGAAATTATTATTCATCATGATGTTATGCATAACACTACATATCATTTTCCCTAGTCCATACCTTATCTATCTACCTCGCCTATGCAGACGGTTATCAGAAATGCAGCGAGCCTAACTGCTCATCTAGTGATTGATGTTTTAACGTTACTGCTAAGGGGATACCTTTCAGATAACAGCCCTATGACACGATCATGGTGGTATTCTGTAGATATATGGAGTAGTATTCTGTATTCTGCACAGTACATCCTAACGAATATATAAAGTAATAATGATGACAGATAGTAAATCTTAGCAATTATACTAACTGCAGTTGTGATACTAGAATGTATAAGACGGGCTGCTGCTTGCCGCCATATTAAATTATTATCTAATTAGAAGTGTCGAAGATATCTTAAGTTCTTCTACTTTCCACGTGTACGGTACGACTCATGATTCTAGATTCGCCCCCGATTACTTGATTCTGGCATAGATAAATATCTATGCCATCCCATTGTACAGAGAACCTAGTATAGGAGAATTTTTCCTGGTGATAGAATTTTCACGTAGGACCGGGAGTATGTCCCTAAACGGTAGGCGGTTGGCAGGTAGGTAGTCTTCATACCTGTTATCCTCTGTAGAGAGCTAGGCACATGGCTGTAGGAACGGGGTAACTGCTGCTTATTCCTAGGGGATTTGTTAGTCATTCTCTTGGATGGAGGTAATTGGAAGTTCTCGCAAAAAAAAGAAAAGAAAAGATAAATGCTGCTAAATGTTGAGTATCTACGGAGTACCACTACGGAGTATTTCTTAGACATCCAGTGGATAAAGGTAAGTTACAATGGAACGGATGCGATGTACGGAGTAATGCTCCCCGTTATGGCTCCATACACTTAGACTTCTTGCCCCTCTTTTTTTTTTTTTCACTGTTTTTTTCCCTCCTTTCCCCATTGTATCAGTGACCTTAGTGTGGTTACCTTTCCTTAAAAACCATCGTCCAGTCTTCCTGTCTTTCCACCTCGAGGACTACTCATTTCAACCCACCTGGGTGTGCACCCTTTCCAACTATTTGTCTTTATAGGATTACAGTATCCTATTTATTGCATTCGATTGGATTGTCTTCAATCCTGTCTCTGTGTGTAGATCGGTTGTTCAGCCGTTCAGCATCTCTTGTTGGTGTGGACTGAACTTATCAGTTTTGTTCTCTTTCAAAAAGCCCTCCGCATCTCACCACTCTGCTCATCGACCCATCGCTGGGTTTGAAAATTCTTGCATCATCGTCTCTTTTTGATTTACACATCTATCGCTTTTACTCGATTGCTAGTTTTTGTTCTTGGCTGGCTTTTTGTTGACTCTTACGAGCTATATTTTACTCTTGTTCCAGCGGGATTCTTGCATTAACGTCATCGACAAAAGGATCTGCGGTGTATCTCGACAAACCTCTATAAAGAGCCCACTTGTCGACACAACACCCTCTACTATCGCAATCCTGGAGCGACAAGGCTCCTATCCTCATTACACAGTCAAGTTGGCGGGGACTCGCTACAACCGGACCTCTTTCCTCCACCCTCTTTTGGGCCCCAAGTTCAGGGTCTTCTGCGGGGGCGACACCAGACCCCCATAACTAGGCTTACATAGCAAATTTTCAAATTTGGCACAAACAGGTACATCGGTAATGCCAGGCCCTCTAGAGGGGTCTGGCTAATGGATGGAGGAGCACTATTTTCCGGAGTGCCTTCATAGTCTGTCGTCCTTCCTAGCTTGAACGTCAAGAAACGAATCAATCACATTCACGAAGCCCTCACACCCCCGCTTTTCCTAACGTCATCGGTCGATCAAAACTCTTAATAATTGTGCTTGCGACGGAGTCAAACCAGCGACAATGTCTGAATCACCGAAGTCCGAGAAGTACATGTGCCTGACTCGGTTCAGCACGCCAGTTCCCGAATTAGATGATCATCGATTTCAACTCGATTCCCCACCTCGAATCGAAGCTACCGCTGATATCTCTCTCAGTCGGCAAAACACTGCTCAGTATGCCTACCCTCAAGAGACGCCTCAGCGTCCCGATTTGCTCTCAATTCAAGATGCGCTTCGGGAAGCGGGGTCGCTTTCCCGGGATTTCGAGCAAGCTATACTGGATGATGATCGATCAGGCAAAGATGTCAATACCCTGGGCCGTCGTTTCTCTGTTGACCCAACCGGTAATGTCCGCCATGGCCGTACGTGGAGCCGAACCCACCAGGAACTTGCGAATATGTCACGGGAATCATCTCCCTCAGCTAGGTCATCGTCGCCTCCGAATTCGGTTGAAGCCTTCGCAGACCCCCGCCGCCGCGAGCGGGCGAATACACTGGAGAGCCATGCGGCCCCAGATCTCGAGGCCATTCTGCAGCGCACAGTTTCCGGCGGTACTCATCCCCGCCGTCCGACCTTTAGTAACGCAAGTGCAATCAGACCGCAACCAGGCGATATCCAGCTAGAACCAAGCGACGAGACTTGCGTGCCGACTTATGAGCAACCTGGCAGGATCCCGGTGATCGACTACGAGGAATTGGAGGAATTTGTGGCTCTGAGCCGGCAAATGAAGCCCTCGACTACTCGGCGTAAGCAGAGTCTAAGCTCCCAAAGTCGGGGACCTCGCGTTTTCTATGATCTGCGCCCAGGGCTTCGGAAGTCTGATGTTGAAGGCGAGAAGCATTCTTCGAGTGCTGATCGCTCTTCTTCGGACCTCATGGACGCGGATTTGAAGACAGCCGATAAGGTCTATGCGAACGTCGTGGATGAAAAGGACATAGTGGAAAAGCTTCAGAATGAGAACGAGCCGACCCGCTTCGGCTTTTTCTCATCCGAGTCCCAGAGCACTGTGCATGCGGCGGAGCTGGGGGACCTTGTGCTCCCTGGTGATACTTTCCGGGATCTCTTTCAACTTGGCCCGGAGGGAGGTGTGTGGTGGTTGGACGTACTCAATCCAACGGAGGAGGAAGTTGCCGCACTCTCGCGGGCTTTTTCCATCCATCCACTGACTACGGAAGATATCTTGACTCAAGAAGCCCGTGAAAAGGTCGAGCTTTTCAAGCAATATTATTTTGTCTGCTTCCGGACATTCTTTCAGCTCGACAAGACAGACGAACGCTTCATGGAGCCCGTCAACTTCTACATGGTTGTTTTCCGCGATGGTGTCCTCTCATTCTCATTCACTGAGAATCCACACGCGGCAAATGTCAGGAAGAGAATTGGAAAGCTCCGTGATTATGTGTCCCTCAGTAGTGACTGGATCTGTTATGCCATGATGTAAGTCGCAAGGGCGTGATTCCAAATGAGACCATCTGTTCTGACGTTGGCACAGTGACGATATTGTTGATAGTTTTGGGCCTGTCATCCGAGAGATTGAGGTCGAATCTGAGGCAATTGAGGACCTCGTTTTCATCGCGCGCGTCGACGATTTTGAATCCTTCTTACCGCGAATCGGTGGCCTTCGTAAGAAAGTCATGAGCTTGATGCGCCTTCTAGGTGGCAAAGCAGATGTCATTCGTGGTTTCTCCAAGCGTTGCAACGAGCAGTACTCCGTCACTCCGCGTGGAGACATTGGCCTGTACTTAGGTGACATCCAAGATCACGTGGTAACCATGATGTCAAACTTGGCCCACTTCGAGAAGATGCTCAGCCGCTCACATACCAACTATCTTGCGCAGCTCAATGTCACTAACCTGGTGCTGGGCAATCATGTCAATAAAGTCCTGAGCAAGGTGACGCTGATTGCTACCATGCTGGTACCGATGAATCTGATATGTGGTCTGTTCGGAATGAATGTCCGAGTTCCTGGTGAAGGGCAGGAAGGCCTGGGATGGTTCTTTGGCATTGTGGGGGTCATTGCAGCTGTTATTGTCCTCAGTGGCATAGCTGCTCGGTATTACAAGCTTGTTTAGAGCAGTGTGTATAGTTTTAGTTGCCGTTTATGTGTCCTTAATAACAAAGTATATACGGTTTTCACTTATAATGTATTGGATCGCCTGTCTTCCTTGAACTAGTCGCTAATATCTACTACTGTAATTAAAAAACTACCATCCGACTGCGCACGTTGGTCTTTGCATGACAGGAGATGATACGAGCATATGGAGACTCGGTGATTGAAGAAAGTAGAGGAGTGGCTGTGCCATTTTTGTGGCGCAAATTCCTTCGAAGTCCTGAACTATCAACAGAGGAGTGCCGCTTGTCTAGATCAGAATGTAGAGACCGAGCTGGTTCTCTTGCTGCGACAACTCCCGCCACGAACTCCCCGCGAATGTTTCCATAGCATTGCTTCTTGCAGGTATCCCGCCATGAGAGAAAAGCTGCTGCCTTATCTCCGGTTGATTCTGTAATTTTCGAGCCTGAGGTGGATATCGTCCTTCGGAGCTCAGTCGGTTGATGCAACTATCCATGCGGACTGATTTTTCATCTATGCATTACCTTTCAGTTGCATATTTCGGCGCCTTAATATTATTATACGGCCCTATCTTTCTCGTCAAGTCGTGCCTTGCTCTTGATCCGCCCTCTGATCCCGCCCTCTTGATCTCCAGCAACGACACGAATGTGATTCTACACGACATCGCAGAACATTTCACATTCCCCCATGGATCATACAGTGGACTTGAGGTTCAGGATACCGTGAGCGAAAATGGAGAAACTCGAGGTCTCGACCTTGTTCGCAGGGTTCCGCCTGGGGTATCATCTCTAGGGAACAACCAGTTCAAGACCAGCGGCATCAAACTCGGGGAGACTCAATGGTGGTATTTTCCCAAGGAGTCTGTGAACGGCAAGAAATCTAACGTCACATCCGAGCTCCCTGAGAGGATTTCTTTTGACGGGACAAGCCAGCAAACCGTCAGTTCGGACGAACTTCGGAAGCGCGACGGAGACATCGTGAAGCGCTCGACCTCCGTATATCTCTCTCTGACGATGTGCTCAAAGCCCGATATCAACAATACCAATGGCACTATTCCTGACTCTGCCCCATCATTACCGGAATTGAATTTGTACGTTTCTACCTCGGAGTCACTCCAAAAACCGGGCCCGGGACAAGATGGCTCAAAGCAGGAAGTGTTCACGGCCGATGAGGGCTATGTGGGAGCTTCTGTGCAGGCAGACGGGGATGTTTTCATAGGCGTCGCAGTGCAGAATTCGACGGCGTACTCGGGGGGCTACACATATGAGATTGCTGCCTCAATCGACGCTTATTTTCACAGCGTTGTGGACGAGCCATTTTTACATTTTGTTGACGCGGACATCCATGCTGCACTCTTGACAACAGACAATTTGACCCTTTCAGAAGAGGGGAGCGAGAATTATCAGCAGTGGATGAATCTAACACCGCCGTTCACAATGTTTGCTCATAATGTGAATGATACAGCAATCTCAGGTCTCCAACGGTCATACTGTGCTCTTGCGCAATTGGCCCAGATTAGAGAAGGTGACCACGGGGTCGAAGGTGGGATGACGAACCGTGGTCTGGGCAAGAAACCGAAGGAGCAGTTCTACATCACCGGTCTCAATCGGACTTCCAATTACTCTGGAATTCTCGCAATGGATGGAAACTCCACCAACTCAGGGAACGGGATCGTTGGCGGAGGAGGGAGAGTCTGGAAACCCATGTACTTTGCAACCAAGTCAGGTGAGCAAGCCAACAGCCCGTGCTCTTCTTTGGTATCGAACGAAGGTGCTGACCTGGACCAGATGACAACTGTGCCGTCCTTTTCAACCTAACGTTCTGCTCAGAAGTTGCGTACGCAGTCCCATCAAACCCTGATCTTGGGATCGCACAACTTGGTGCGAAATACGACAAATATGCCGAGTCTCTGTACAGAAACTTTTCCTATTCCCTGGACCAGATCCAATGCAGCGCAACCAACGAAACCAGCTTCTCTTTGGCTGTGAGTTGCAACGACTGTGCGGATGCTTACAAGCAATGGCTTTGTGCGGTGACCATCCCTCGTTGCGCGGACTTCTCAAGCAACAGTGTGTTTCTCCAGGTCCGAAACGCGGGCCAACAGTTCATCAACGGCAGCTCTCTCAGCCCCATCGACCCCAGGCGCAGGGATCCTGCGCAGAACAAGTCGCGCAATTCCATGATAGACGATCAGATCCGCCCTGGCCCTTACAAGGAGATCTTGCCGTGCCAGGACATCTGCTACAGCTTGGTGAAGCGCTGTCCCGCCGCCCTTGGGTTCAGTTGCCCCCAGGGTACGCGGCTCAATTCTGCCTACGGCCAGCGCGGTTCGAGCAGCGAGATCACCTGCAGCTATCCGGGGGCAGCGTATGATTTGAACGCTGGACGGTCCCTCCGCGAGCCTCTGGGTTGGCTTTTACTTGCAACGGGGATCTTCTGGTTTTCTTTCTGGGCTCTCAGGGTGGACGCTTAGATGCATTCTCTTTTTCAGGATTCTTCCCATTGGAGCGAATCGCAGCGCAGAATAATCATGTCTTTGATCCAGGTTTCAATGATACCCTCCCTGGCTTAAGATCTATTGTTTGCTATCTGTTGTCGAAAGTTTACCATTGTATAGCTAGTTGAATTGCATTTTCTACATAGTTCCCATGGACTTTAGCTACCAAGAAGATTGTACAAGCGGTGACATGGTTGCAACGGGACATGGCCCCGTCCGCATGAGCGTATAGCAACCTTTCGGGGATTGTGATATCTTTTTATAAAGATCAATAGAAGGGCATCTGCCCTGTGAAATTAAGAATAACTGAATACCCGCCTCGCAATGCAACCCACCAGCAACGCCAACATTCCAATCATCCGGAGAAAAATCTATCCATCATAATGTAATGGCCCAGGGAAGAGATAAGATAGATGTTGCCGGCTCGTAGGAAAAAGTCAACAATCATTTAAGCTTTCCTCGGAGTCGGGGTCCACATATTCCTCAGACTCGACGAGCTTGCTGCGGGTCGAGGTGTGCTTCCAACCCGTTGCAGAAGTTTCTGCGCCGCAGGGGTCAGAGCCTTGCCCTGTCCGCTGGACGCAGCAGCCGCAGGGGTACGTAGCCCAAAATCCAACCGAGGGCTGCTCGCGAAACGCGGCGTTACGGGCGTTGTAATCTCGCGCGCCGCCTTCTCGGCGCGTTTCGTTCTTGCTACCCGGTCGACCATGCGGTGGTGCAGTTCTTCGCGTTTGCAGTTCTCCTTGATCGAGAACGGGTTGGGGGTAGAGTCGCTCGCCCCGAGCAGGCGAAGATCGTCACCTGACAAGGATGTCAACTCTGAGCTTTCCGCGGCAGCATGGCCGTAGTCCGGTTCGGGCTCGTCCTCGTCGACGAAAGCATATCCGTTAACCCGTGGGGTCTCCCCCCCGGCATATCCCGCTTCAGATTCCGTGAGTCGGGGTCGGCCAGCAATGGCATCTTTGATGGCGGATATCGATGGCGAGGGAGGGACGTTGTTGCCCTCATGCTGGACACTTGACTCCGGTAGCCTGGTATTCTCGTGCACCACTCGCTTAGGCCCCGCACGCGAAAGCGCTTCAGCCTTTTGTGAAATCGTCTCGTGCGTATCCTCTATCGACGACGGCATGAACATGAGCGAGTTCTCTGGTCTGGACTTCCACGTATCCGGCTTTGCGGGCCGGGCGTCCAAATCCGTCTTGATCGCTAGCTCAGTACTGGCCCCCTGTGCTGCGAGGCGTTTCGCTTCCCGTTGTCGGTGGGCAATTTGCCGAGCCGTAGGAATCTTGTTTCCACTCCAGAGCCAGGCATACTTCTCCTGGCGCTTGGCATTCTGTTTGTCCAGCAGTTTATTGAACGACTCGTTGTCTTCGCTGGTGTATTTGGCCTGGAATGCCATGAGCCCCAGATTGGAGACGTCTGGGATATCTTTTGGAGCGGACTCAGACATTGCATTCGTCGTCGTTGAGATCACCGACCTCGGCGTATCTCCTTGCCAGCCGGTCGGGGTGTCATGCGGTCGTTCTGTACCATGGAGGCGCGGAATGGTGCGAGCTCTGCCGGGAGTCTTTAACAAATCCGTGAGTTTCTTTTTAGAACTCGTAATCCACGCTTTGTCCTTCGATTCCAGCGCATCTAGGTACTCCTGCTTTACTTGCTCCTCCAGCAATCCGGGAAAGTAGTCACGAGCAATAATCTCCGATAAGGCATTCGTGTAGACATCTTCGTCCAGAACCGTGGCTGGCCGTTTGATCCGCTTCGGTGGAGGAGGAGGGGGCATGAGACTTTGTTCGCTTTGACGTTTGGTCAACGCTTGCGATGGAGTGGAGACCATGTTGAATGAACGACTTCGAAGGGTGGGCTGCGAGGACGGAAAGTCAAGAAAAAGAGCCTGTTCAGATGAGTGGTTGACCAAATGAGAGTCGCATGCTGATAATCAGTGACCGCATGGTTTCCTTGTGTGTCCTTCCTGCCTTCCTTCCCCTCTTTCTTTCTTCCTGGGTTTCTTTCTGCCTTTCTTTCGAGGAAAAGTGGAAAGTGGAAGGTTGAGCGGCTCTGGATTCTGGAGGTTGATAAGACCGCGGAAGTGGCGTCTGGCGGATAACGACGTCACGTTATTTGGGCCGATGGTTTACCAGTTACAGTTGTACCTATTCGATACCTTCAATAGACAGCAACTTTTCTGTACAGAACAATCAGATGGACCTGACAGCATTGCAGATAATACCTAGAATCTATTCTTCTTTTGCTTCTCGCCAAAATTAAACCAGGAAAGCGGCTGATCCATGCCTCTATGTGTACAGAGCTGTGTCCAAGATTCGACAAGAGACATCAACAGGACAAAAAAGATACCAACCAGAAGATCAGAACAAGGAAAAGAAAGCAAAAAGAAAAAGGACAAACAAAGGCAGGAATGAACGTAGTCTGCCTTGCAAAGTACTCTATCCCATCCAGCGCATTTTCCCAACCGTCCATGCCAGATAAACACCCAGACATCTCTTCGTTTCCCCCTCCAAAACAGTCGCTGAGAAATGCAAATTGAATCTAAATCACTGACGCAGACAACACCGAGAGTGCAACGTTGAACGAAGGTATGCAGATAATCAACAAAATTCAAGTTATATGAAGGCTTGACCCACAGCAGGATGCTAACAACAAGGAAAAGAGAATCGTCAAGTCGTGGAAGTGGTCTATGGAGCGATTGGTCGGTTTGAAAAGAGTAAAAAAAAAGGAAAGCAGAAAAGATTGAACGGATGAAACAAGGGAGCGAAGTGCCAGCACACTTCGTCAAGGTCGATTCATGCTTTTGGATTAAAAGGCGCGGATAGCGAATTGTCTGCAAAAGTTTCAATTCGCTGCAGGGGTAGGGAAAAGGGAGTATGATGTCCTGCCTTTTTTTCGGTTCGGGCTCTTCGGCGGGATTGGAGGGAGTGGTGCCGAAGCATTACTCCTAGTAGTCCTGACGGTTCGTGGAACCTCTACCTCAGATGTTGATTTGGCTCTATCGTGAACCGAACCGCTTGCCCGCGCCGGGTCCGCAGGCCCGGGACTGGAGTTATCTTCAGATCGCGACATCATCTGTGTCTCAATCTCCCGCGCCAGACTCTTGGTCTGCCGGTGGTAGCAAGAAACTTCCGTACGGCCTGCCGATGACGGCGCTGTGTAACCAGACTGCTCCGTGGAGGGCAAGTGCTCCATGGATGGCAGTTCCCGGCTGCTCGCCAGGCTATGCACCAGCTCTGGGACGCTGCCCGTCGAGACAGAGGAACGATGTTTGCGGACAATAGATGCGGCACGGGAAAGTATCAGGCTCTCCTGCGAGTTGCACTTGCTGATGGGAGAAAAGCTGCTTCGGGGAGACACCGGATGGTCCATAGCGTGGATTAGTCCCTGTGAGCAAAAGGAGAAATGCCGATCAGATTCCGCATCAGCCGCTAGGTACTCCTCGTACAGTGTGTCATGCGTCATCTGTTTTCCGATAGCAGATGGGAAGATTGACGAATTGACCGGCTGAAAATAATCTCCGCCGTTAGAAACGATTTCGCTCTCATACCCTGCGCTGGACGGGGTCACAGCTACTTGGGAGCTGAGTAACGAACGGGCTGGGCTGGGTTCCAACTCCGGACTGGGTAAACGCGGCGCGCTGAGCTGTGTAGGGTGAAGAAGCTCGACGTCCTTGCCTTCGTTTGCTGGCCCCCCAGAAGCTGCTCTGGGGCCATCATCGTTATCTGCCGGACGAGCCTCGTCCAGCGAATTACCTGACCAGTCAAAGTCAAACGTTGATTCCGCCGCATGCTCGTAGCAATAATCGATATCAGCATCCCAAGACTCATAGATGGTTTCATAGGCAGGTTTGCGGTGAGCGGATGACCGCCGGCGAATTGGCCCTTCAATCGCTTGGTCGGCAGCATCCTGGAACAGACGATACTGTGGAAGAGTAGGAGAGCCGAGCGCCACGGAAAACTTTCTGGAGAGCTCCTCAGCAACGCAGATGGATAGTCGAGACTTGCGACGCTGAACAGACGGGATTGGCACCTCGACTGAAGGGTCTATCTGAGATGAGGATGGAGGCATTGCTGTATCGGCATTCGCCTCGGGGCTATCATGCCAGTGAGTGATGCCCTGCTCCTCCGGTACTTCTTCCAACACAGACTTGAGGCTAGGAAGGGAGACAGAGGAGGTCTCAGCGTCTATTCTTTCGGTGCTTGCGTCTGTGGTGACAGCATGTTCTGGTTGAAACGAGAATATCCCTTCAACCCTGAACTGCGGCATGGAAGAGCACTGTTCCACGTCGTCTGTATTGCCATACACGTGTTCAGGGTATGTACGCTGGGAGGACAAGCCAAGAATCTCATCAATGGCGCGTGGTGCGGGCTCAGATAAGTCTGGCGAAGCTGTCAGTTGAGGGGAGATCGTTCTCGGCGGCGGAGTGGTGGAGCCGGCCCTGGGATATCTCGGCACAGGTCGAGAGAAGTTCTCAAAGACGCGCGATTCTCTTCTGGCCCGATGATCGGGCTGTTTCGGACTGATTGAAGATGAAACGCCTGGAGAAGCTGGTGGGCTTGTCGGAGTCGGAGACGTTCGGTGCTCTGGAATAGCTGCCCCGCCATCTGTGAGATCTTCTGATGAGAAGCCTTGAAAATGGAGATCATCTGCCCGGATGCCCTTGAGTCCCGTCATCGGTCTCTGAGAGGCACGGATGGCGGAAAATTCGGTGACAATGTCATTTTCTCTGGCTTTATCCAGCGCCTGAAATTGGGACGGACTCGTATGAGTCAGATGGTGGAAATCAAAGGGATTGGAAATCAGGCTCTTCAAATGTTCATCTGTATACCCATGTTACCGAGGGAGTCAATTTGAAGTCTCTTTTTCTCTAGCGAATACCCTGGGCGGGGGCGTTGACTTACGGGCATTACTTTGTCGCGTCTTGTGGTGGCGGTTGAAGATCTCTGAGACCTCGAAACGCGTCTTCTCGCGCTCTACTTCATCCTCCTCGTCAAGAGTGGCGGCGATATTGAACTTGCTTCCCTGACGGCGCAGAATACGGCTCCCCCGTGTAAAGAGTGATTTGGTCATACTCTCATGCCTCTCATGCCTCTCATGCCTGTCCGACCGAATACCTGCCGAGGAGCTGGCTCGGTCTTCACTGGAGTAGGGCAATGAAGCAGCGTCAGCAGAGGTCATAGAGGAAGCGGGCGAGCGGCGGGAGGATGAGGTGGAGGTTGAGGTATTGCTCCTGGATCGACCACTGAAGACCGATAGGCGCTTGGGACTGTGAGCATGAGCGGTTGATCTTGAACGGATGTGGGCCGTATAGTCCGGGGGATCATTAGAAGCTCTGGTGGATGGCCGGTCAGAGAGATCCGCCTCTTCTTGCCTTGCAAGCATGGTGGGACAGTGAGATAGATGGATCCCGACAACAAGACGATCTTTTGTGCAGGTGGACTGCAACGAGGCGATGGTCTGCGATCAATAGAGTGAGAATGGCAAAGCCAGGAAGTTCATCAAACAAGCATTCAGACGGGAAGATGCTGTTCAGTCGTTGACCTTGGAAAGGGATTAGTTCCCCTTAAAGTCGCGGACGGGTTGTGAGCGAGATCCAAGATTGACCAGAGCATATAAAGCAGATCTTTGTTGGGAGACCAGGGATTCCAAGCGAGCCATTGACTCGCGCGAGACTGGAAAGAGAGAGTGAGAGGGGGGGTGCAAACGGTGATTGTTTCCCCTTGTGTTTTAGAAATGTATCGGGTTCAGGAGACAAGTGAGTGGCATGGAACTCTAACACGAAGTATCAAGAGGGATCTCGCAACAGAAATTGGGCCAAAGACCAGCAGACAGAGTAAGAAGCTTTTGAGTGAATGAATGACGGTATGAGAAAGATTGTGGACTAATGAGCGGTTCACTGATCGATCATCAAGAGGAGCAGTGCGTCGAGGTTATGTTGTGCCGGAGAACAAGGATGGCTTTCAGCCCACAAAAAAGAAGACAACCCAAAGGAATTGGAATAATAATGATTGAGGGTGGAGTAAAAGATGGAGAACGATGGACCGAAAAATCTCAGATTTGAGGGTCCAGAACGGCGAGTAAAATATAGTAGCAGTGGAGGATGATAAATAACGATAATAGGAGGAGGAGCAGGAGCAGGATCTAGCAGTAAGATCAAATAACGGCACTAGGTACTTGTCATCTAGACACTCCGTAGACACTCCATAAACAAATAAGATGAAATCGACTCGGACAAGAGCACGCAGTAGCAGATATGATGATTGTGACGATCATAAGAAACGAACGACGCGAACACTCCTACTACGACCAGGTAGGCTAGTACGGAGTGGTAGTTAAACCGCTAAAGTACCTAACTTACCTAGTATCCTAGCCGAAGCAGTGTAAAGCGTAAACAATAATGTAAAATAGTCTTTTGGGTCAAGAGGGGAGGAAAAAGAGGAAGGATTAGATTAAACGATCGAGTCCATTTGACGATACTCCGTAGACTACAAACGCTGGAGTCCGGGGAGATTCACGGAGGACAAGAACACTAAAAAATAAGGAGTTTAGACTGCGATTTATATATATGGGTATTTCATCAATTTATTATTTACTATTGTTATCACGATCGTTTAGTAAATAGCATAAGAGGAGGCTAGCTACCTCGAATTAGGGACGTATTTCGCAGTTACCACCCGCTGTAAGGTACCTAGCTTCCCTGCTTCTTGCGGAGGAGGCTGGCTTAACTTGACTCCTATTTTGCTTTTTAATACAGAGTGAGTCTGGTCAGGATAAATGATGATAAGCCAACAGCCCACGTTCTCACCGTTGAAAAGCTACAGTAAAAAG